AGTTGGTGGATGGAAGTGTGGGCGGATGGATGGTAGATAATGGATAGACAAATGAATGGATGATCAGGGGCCCTGTAACTGAGCAACCCCCCCCTTACAGATGTTGCCCCATCTTCTGCAGGATCTTCAGTGTCTCTGACCCCATCTCCTCAGCAATCAGTGTGTTTGTCTCGGGTCACCCTCCCAGCTGCACCTCTCTCGGTCTCTCTCTCTCTCTGCCTGACACAGCCCCTGCCTAGGCCCTCACCACACCTTGCCCTGCTCTAGAGCCATATGCCTCTCAGCACAAGCTGTGAGGTGTCAGTACACATCTGTGTTTTCTGTGTCCACAAGGTGGCTGTGCTGGAACTGCAGCCTTGATTCCTCTGCCCTCTGTGCCCCACCCCATGCCCAATACCCCCTCCCCGTTCTGGGTTGAGGACCCACTGCAATTCACTCATTCATTCATTCTGCAGATACTTACAGAATGCTCTGTATGTGCCAGGCACTATGCTTTCATGGAGCATGCATCCCAGTGGGGGACTCGGACGAAAGACAGGATCAGTAAAATGCATGTTAGTTGGTGATAAATGCTAAGGAGAACAAATGACACAAAGAAAGGGGGTGAGAAATGTTAGCATGGTTGTGACTCTGGAGAGTGTGGCCAGCAAAGTCCTCCTGAGAACTGCCATGGAGCAAAGAACAGGAGGAAGAGAGCAAAAGAACCATGGGTTGTCTCAGGGAAGAGCATTCCAGGCTCTGTCTTGCCTGCTTGCATCACGGCTCCCACCAGGTTATTGAAAGTCTCCTGTAACCAGGCCTGGAGATGCATTTCTGGCCGCCGTGGTCTCTGTAGTATCCTCTCATGGCAGCTCACTTTACTGGGGTCCATGACACTCTCCCAGCTTCCCTTGTCCAGGCAGTCGTTTTCGGCCTGTCCCTGCAGTGTCTGGGGAGCTGGCCGCCTCCCTCTGCTCATCCCCACCGTGGCCACCTCATCCAGGCTGATGTTGTGGCCTCAGTGCTGCTGGCTCACATCTCACTCTGTCCACACCATCCCAGGCTGAGTTCAGGCCCTGGACCAAAGACCGGCCTGACCTTTCCCTCATTCCCCATGACTACCCACCAAACCCCAGTGGGTCCCAGTCGGGACTCAGCAGCTTCCATTCCAGCCCTGCTTCTCTGGCACAGGCCACTGTTACCCTCCTGCTGACAGGCACCTCCTTCCCCTTCACCCACACCTACCCGGCCTCCAAATGCAGCTGCTGACCACAGGCTCTTCCTCCTGCCACACTGCCAGGTCCCTCAGAGCACCTACCAGCTGCCCAAGGAACAGCAGCTGCTGGAGATGGTTAAGAGATATAATCGCCGAAAGGCTGAGGTGAGCCCTGTGTGACCCTGCCTTCCTAGAGACCCCCATGTGAAGGGGGGAGGCAGAGAGAGGGAGGGGAGGGGGAGGAGGATGAAGAGAAGGAGGAGGAAGGAGAGAAAGCTGGCTGGCACTCTCATCCTCCCATGCCCCCCGAGGACACTGGGGGCCGTGGGATGGAACTTCTGTGCTGTTGTGGCAGGAGCTGCTGCTGCAGGCAAACATGGAAGAACTGCGGTGCGCCATGCCCAGGTCTCGTGGGGAGCCGCCAGTGCAGGTACCACCCAGCTCTCCCTGTCCCAAGACCTGTTATCAAGGTGGCATCTTCTCATGTCCTTAAGAAGTTCCTCCCAGCCCGGGCGTGGTGGCTTACTTTGGGAGGCCGAGGTGAGAGAATTGCCTGAGCCCGCGGGTTCGAGACGAACCTGGGCAACTTGGCGAGACCTCATCTCTACAATAAATCAAAAATTTAGCCGGGCATGGTGGCACGTGCCTGTAGTTCCAGCTACTTGGAAGGCTGAGGCAGAAGGATTGCCTGAGCCCAGCAGGTCAAGGCTGCGGTGGTCGGGAGTGTGCTACCGCCCTACAGCCTGGGCGACAGAGTGAGACTCCAACTCAAAAAAAAAAAAAGAAAAGAAAAGAAGTTCCTCCCAGTACCATTTCAGTAGCCACTTCTTTATCCCTTTCCTGTCATGGGCTGTGGAGGGGGCATTCCCAGTAACTGAGAATGTGACCCTTTTGAGCCATGCTGAATAAAATCTCACTGCTATGTGGGTCCTAAGTGGGCAGGTATAGACATGCAGGAAGCACACCAAAGAAAGCATCTCCAGGCACTGTCTGTGAGTGTTTCTAGATGTTCCACACTGAGCATTTAATACCTGTATAAGAAGAAAAGCAAGGTCTGTTTGTCAGTTAGGAAAAAACAGAGGGAAGAGGACAAGGAGACATTGTACTCCAGCGATGCTCACTCAGGAGGGCCTGTGGGCGGCAGCCGGATTCACAGAGGTGGCCACTCCCCAGCAGCTGGGGCAGGCCCGGGTATGGGCACCCCAAACAGTGGCATGCCCTGGGGGGTATAATGGCTGAGTTTCATGGGAGTGGCCTTTGCCGGCTATTCCGCCTTCCTGTGGCTTGTGATGCCCACTCTGGGGTATGCCAGGAAAGCACCAGGAGTCTGGGTCAGGGCAGACAGCTCAGAGAGCAATACAGGAGAGGCCACAGGGCAAGCTAGACCCTAGCTCTTGGGCCAGCCGCAGAGATGGACGCTGAGCCCCGAGGCCAAACTGTACTGAGTAGGAACCTCTGTTCCCAGCCCCACAGGTCTTGCACCTTTCCTGCTCCTCTCTGGGTGGCCCAACACCCAGCAAGGCTCAGGGGGCATTGGAGAACAGAGATGCTGCCCTGGGGAGGCTGAAGGGGGTTGGCAGTTGCAGTAGGACAAAGGGAAGGGGGCGGGGCCTCCCAGGGGTGCTGGGCCAGCTGTTCACACAGGGTGTGTCTGGGGGTACTTAGTGAGCGCAGGTGCCAGGCAGCCAGCTCTGCCCTGACTCCTGCAGGACTCCCAGAAGAAGCCACGGCTCCGATTCCCACCCCGAATCCAAAAGACTCCGAAGCTGACCCTCTACAAGGTGAGGGGTGCTCCCGGCTGGTCTGGTCCCTCTTCCTGGGCACCCAGCCCTCCCAACTCTTTGGCCTCTAGAGGCTGAGATGAGCAGAGCGGGGGGACTCAGAATCCTCAGGACAGCCCCACCTTTGAGACAGAGGGAAGCACCTGGGCAGGAGGCAAACAGGAAGGGTAGGACAAGAGGGAAACTTGCTGCTCCCAAGGCTCCCCTCAGCCTCACCACAGGCGTGCCCCCTCCTGCAGCCTGACAACATTCCAGTCAAGTTGAACACCGCAGCCATCCTGCGAGAAGGGGCCTTGTACCAGCGGCAGGTGGAGAAAGAGCTGCAGAGGTGAGAGGTGGTGGTAGCCCCTGCCCGTGCCCCTTCCACTATATCACCCTTGGAAGCAAACTTGTGCAGGAGGAGCCTGGGGGCCGAGAGGCTCAGCAGGGAGGAGGCCCGGGGTCACAACAAAGCTGTGGTGCTGCCGGGGTGGGATGGCAAGCAAGACCATGCCACGGTGGCCGGTGCATCTTACAAAGATCATCCTGGGTTGGTGAGGGAAATGTACAGGGGTAGGAGGGACTTAGAAAATGCCTGGCCCACTCCAAACCCTCCTGGGGACTCCCTCTGGATGTCCCTTCCCCGAGCCCACCAGGGCTGTACACCCTCCTGTCTTTCCATGTCTGTGAGTCGGGCTGTAGGTGGGAGCTTGGGTAGCTGATCAGATGGATGAGTGGATGGACAGATAGGTGGACAGGAGATGGTGGATGGACGGACAGGTGAACAGGCGGATGGACAGACAGATGGACAAAGGGATGGTAGATAGATGGCTGGACAGAGGATGCCAGCTGGACAAATGGATGGACAGAGGGACGGTGGATGGACGGATGGGTGGACAGGGGATGATGACCAGACATAGGAGTAGACAGAGGGATTGTGGATAGACAGGTGCGTGGTCAGAAGATGGTGGATGGATAAATGGGCAGAGGAGTGGTAGCCAGACAGGTAGACAGAGGATGGTGGCCAGACGGTGGACAGAAGGTTGGTGAATAGGCAGTTGGTGGACAGATGGACGTATGGACAGGGATAGTGCTTGGAAGTCCAAACAATATGAAAAAGCAGACTCAGAGAGGTCTCACTTGTGAGTCTGTGACTTACGGCCATTTCCGCCTACTCTCATAGATCCTTATTTTCAGTAATTCCTGGATTTGCTTTCCTACCTTTCTAAGCAAATAGTAGACTTGTATGCATGCTTCTTCCTTCCCTTTTTCTCACATAAAAGATCACATCTTGTTTTATCTGCAAAGCATAATGTTGTGCACGTTTTTCATCTTGGTGGAGGTGGATTATTCTCTATATATTTTTTCTATATTTTCTTTCATAATCCTTTACAATATGTTGTTACAAATGTTTTCCCGAACTGACATTTGACTTTGTCTATGATGTGTATTGATGCGTTTTACCATGCAAACATATTTTTTGTGTCTTCAAATGTAGCCTTTTTTGAGTCAGGGTCTCACTCTGTTGCCCAGTCTGGTATGATGGATGAATAGAAGGACAGGGAATGGCGGATAAACAGACGGGGGATGGTTGCTGGGCAAACAGTGGACAGGGAAAGGCGGCTGAACGGACAGGTGGACGGAGGGACGGTGGCTGGATAGACAGTAGACAGAAGATTGATGGACAGAGGGCAGGTGGATGGACAGACAGGTGGACGAAGCAGTGGTAGACAAGCAAGTGGATGAAGGAGGGGTGGGTGATGGTGCTGATGGGTGGACGTACAACAGAGAGCCATGGGGGACAGTGGGTGGTTGGTTGGGGGCTGACCCTGTGGCTGGGCAGCAGCACAGGCCTGTGAGGGTCACCACCCTCCAGGGAGCCTGTGGCTTCCTGGTGGCCCCCGTCCCAAGAAAGAGCCCCAAGCTGGGCCTCTGTCCATCTGTCCCAGGGTTGATAAGCTTGTGGATGGAGCTGGGGACTTCTCTGAGTTCCTCGAGTGGCAGAAGAAGATGCTGGCAAAGGACCGGGAGGAGCAGGCGGCGGCGGACGAATGCCGACGGCTGCAGGGGAAACTCAGCCACGAGGAGGCCGTCCTGGCCCGGCAGCAGCTCATGTGGGAGAACAGGCAGAAGGCTGAGCAGCAGAAGGAGGAGGTAAGGCGTGCAGCCGCAGTGGGGATGGGGCCCCAAGCTGCGCTCTGCCACTCCAGGAGTGTGGGCCTGACTGGCAGAGGGGCCAAGCGCCCACACCACGGCTGGTCAGGGGCCCCTCCTGCGACCCGTGGCTTTTGGGATGGCCCCGAGTCATTTCCTCCTAAGATACACAGGGTGGCCTGGTTTCTCGGCAAGCAGGGGCAGAGGAGTTTCAGGTCAGCTGGGCCACCGGGACCATCCGGCTGGCACTTCTGCTCCAGATCACCACCAGTTCCCACCCGCAGGTCATTTGGTCCACAGGTCCCTGGGTGTCCCTGAGGGAAATTCTGAGTCTGGAAGAAACTTCCAGAAGGTAGACATGTTTGCATATGACATGTTTGTGTATGGTGTCCTCTCCCACAGGAGGGTTTGTGGGACCCCTTTAGAAGCTCCCGATGTGTCGGTCCGGCCTCTTGCGAGACCTAGGACGCACTGCCTGGGTGAGGGCTCTCAGCCTGTGTTTTCCCAGAAAGACTGTTCCTTCCAGTGGCCTGGACAAGCGGAGAGCCCGCTGCTCCTAGCAGGCTCAACTTGTAACTCTGCCTTTCCTTAGATATATCCCACTGAGGGCCTGTGGTCAAAGGGATGTTGGCTGGGCAGACGGGCAGACAGGGGGTGATGGATGACTAGATGGACAGGGAATGGTGGATAAACAGACAGGTAAACAGGGAATGATCACTGGACAGATGATGGATAGGGAATGGTGACTGGACAGGTGTGTGGACAGAGGGATGGACAGACAGAACAAACAAATAGTGGCATGTTCGAAGGTCACTCAAATGACTTATTTTGGTAGACCCACCTGTATCTGCCTGTATTCAATTTTAGGGCTTGCCTTTTCCTTCCTTTTTCCTTCCTTTTCAATGTGCTTTATTTATGTATTTTTTGGAGGGGGTGTGGAGTCAGAGTCGCACTCTGTTGCCCAGGCAATGGCACGCTCACAGCCACCACAGCCTCGACCTGCTGGGTTTTAGTGATCCTTCCACCTCAGCTACAACTACAGGTGCATGCCACCATGCCTGGTTAATTTTTTAATTTATTATAGGGATAGATCTCACAAAGTTGTCCAGGATGGTCTTGAACCTGGGGACTCAGGCAATCCTCTCGTCCTGCCCTCCCAAAGTGCTGGGATTACAAGCTTGAGCCACCCCGCCCAGCCTAGTTTGCTTTTTTAAAAATAGGAAGTCCAAACAATAAGAAAAAGTAGACTCAGAGAAGTCTCACTTGTAAGTCTATAGCTTACAGCCGTTTCCACCTACCCTCATAGATCCTTATTTTCAGTAATTCCTGGATTCGCTTCCCTATCTTTCTAAGCAAATAGACTTGTATACACACTTCTTCCTTCCCTTTCTCTTACATAAAAGTTCACATCTTAGCCAGGCTCGGTGGCTCAGCCTGTAATCCTGCGCCTTTGGGAGGCCGAGGTGAGTGGATTGCCTGAGCCCGCGGGTTTGAGACCCTCCTGGGCAACTTGGCGAGACCTCATCTCTACAATAAATAAAAAACTAGCCGGGCGTGGTAGCGTGCGCCTGTAGTTCCAGCTACTTGGAAGGCTGAGGCGGAAGGATCGCCAGAGCCCAGCAGGTCGAGGCTGCACTCCAGTCTGGGCGACAGAGTGAGACTCCAACTCAAAAAAATTCACATCTTGCTTTATCTGCAAAGCATAATGTTGTGCACATTTTTCATCTTTGTGGAGGTGGATTTCTCTATGTATTTTCTCTATATTTTCTTTCATTAATTCTTTACAATATATTGCTACAAATGTTTTCTCAAATTGAAATTTGACTTTATCTATGATGTTTATGATGTGTTTTGCCATAGAAACATATTTTTTTTTTTTGAGTTGGAGTCTCACTCTGTCACCCAGACTGGAGTGCAGTGGCCGCTCCCGGCCACCGCAACCTTGACCTGCTGGGCTCCGGCGATCCTTCCGCCTCAGCCTTCCAAGTAGCTGGAACTACAGGTGCGCGCCACCACGCCCGGCTGATTTTTGATTTATTGTAGAGATGAGGTCTCGCCAAGTTGCCCAGGTGGGTCTCGAACCCGCGGGCTCAGGCAATCTACTCACCTCAGCCTCCCAAAGACGCGGGATTACAGGCTGAGCCACCGAGCCTGGCTAATTTTACTTTTTCTTGTGCAGTTCCTGTTGAACTGATGGCTTCCACAGCCTGAATGTGTTTTTTTTGTTTTGTTTTGTTTTGTTTGGTGAGTCACAGTCTTACTCTGTTGCCAAGGCTGGAGTGCAGTAGCACACTTAGGGCCACCACCACAGCCTTGACCTGCTGGGCTCAGGTGATCCTTCCACCTCAGTCTTCCAAGTAACTGGAACTACTGTTGTGTGCCACCATGCCCGGCTAATTTTTCTTGATTTGCTGTAGAGACAACGTCTCACCAAGTTGCCCAGGCTGGTCTCAAACCCCTGGACTCAGGCAATCCTCTTCCCTCAGCCTCCCAAAGTGCTGGGATTACAGGCATGAGCTACTGCACCCGGCCATGAATGCATTTTAATTATCTATAACTTTTGTTTCTGCCTGAAGTTCTTTTTTTTTTTTTTTTTTTTTTTTTGAATTGGAGTCTCACTCTGTCGCCCAAACTGGAGTGCAGTGGCCGCTCCCGGCCACCACAGCCTTGACCTGCTGGGCTCCAGCGATCCTTCCGCCTCAGCCTTCCGAGTAGCCAGAATTACAGGGGCGCGCTACCATGCCCGGCTAATTTTTTTTTATTTTATCGTAGAGATGAGGTCTCGCCAAGTTGCCCAGGCAGGTCTCGAACTCGCGGGCTCAGGCAATCCACTCACCTAAGCTTCCCAAAGGTGCGGGATTACAGGCTGAGCCACTGAGCCCGGCTTGCCTGAAGTTCTATTACCACAACCTGGCCTCCGGTTGCCTTTTCCTCTCCCCCTCTGACCTTTTTGTACCACTCTAACGACTTTGGAAGCATCTTTTCTTTTGAGAGGAGAGACGTTTGGGGCCCATCGGAATTTTCTCTGCCTAAAACACACACTCAGTTATTCTCCAGGGAGCTCTGTGCCTCACAGAAGCCAGTATTGAGTTCCATATCTGGGTACTTTTTTTTCCTGCAACCAGTACTAAGGTACTCTAGCAAAGGGTTGGAAAAGGATATATTCTAACATCATGAATATAACATTAATGTATTTAAGTTGGCTCTAAAATTGTCTTAAATGACTCTAATATATTTCCCTCACTTAATAATTTTATTTCCCATTTAAAATCATTTGATGAACTATACAAATAGATATTTTTAATAAAACAAATAAAGCTCATAACTTGTTTTTTTAAGTCTGTCATCACTGGGAAATCAATCCAGAATAGCTGTACCAGTATTAGCACTAAACCCGCTGGGTGAGTACCAATCTTCACATTCTGGTTGTCACAAGTGACCATTCTTTGAGTAAATTTACCAAAGTATTCACTAAGATTGTTTAATTAAGGAGCACTTACAGCATTTTTCCACTTGGTTCTGGTCACATAAATGATGTTGTGTGTTGTGTTTGCTTTAATTTCGAAGGTGGCCTGTGCTGCTAACTGAAAGCTCTTGCATGGTGCTAGCAGTGTCCTGCGGTGGGAAGGAGGCCCAGACGTGTGGGAAGCCTGGTGGGACCTCCAGAACAGGGCCTAGGGATTCACTCGGCTGCCCCTGGTCCCTGAGTGACTCTAGACAGGACTGTGGGTCTGAGGTTTATGTCTGAGCAGGCAAAGACAGGCATCTGACCCTAGCCTCGGGCCAGCTGGCTGCCCTGTGAACCCTAACTTCATTGGGAGCCTGGCCAGTTGACCACACACTCATACCTGCCAGACACCTGTGCCCATCCACCACTCCTGGCCTGAGAGCTTTTTTCCTTCTTCTTTCCCTGCTCATCCTCCTCTCTCTGTTGACTCCTAAAGGTGTGCTGATGCTGGGGCCATGGCTGGTGAGGCTTTTTTCTGAGCCCTTGCCCGGTACAGCTGTGGAGGTGGGCGTGGCTCACATCCCGCACTTTGGGAGGCCGAGGTGAAAGGATTGCCTGAACCCACGGGTTCAAGACCAGCCCGGGCAACTTGGCGAGACCTCATCTCTACAATAAATCAAAAAATTAGCCGGGCATGGTGGCATGTGCCTGTAATTCCAGCTACTTGGAAGACTGAGGTGGAAGGATCACCTGAGCCCAGCAGGTCCAGGCTGCCGTGGCCATGAGCATGCCACTGCACTCCAGCCTGGGCGACACAGTGAGACTCCAACAACAACAACAAAAAATTTCATTTTCCCAGAAAAGAAACTGAAACCCAGGAAGGCCTGTGATTTGTCTGAGGTCACATCACTGGTCAGAGTTGTCATAGGCAGAACTTAACGTCCTGTGTCTTACCCCCAAGCCGGTGCCTTCTCCACAGGTCACTGCCGCCTCCCCGATTTCACATTTACAAAGAACCAAGAAATGCTGCCTGATCTCTTGTTTTCTCTCCCAGCATGAGGCTCCCAGCCTTCTGTGTGCTGCAGTCCCCTGGCCCTTTGTTACCCCATTTCCAACAGTGCGGGGAGCCCTGGAGTTAGGCTTGGGGTGGAGGCTGGTGGTACAGGACCATGCCTCTTTTCTTTCTTTGCTTATTGTTTGCTTGTCTAAGATAAGACTCCTGCTATATTTTGGTACCCACTTTTTTTCATCTCCTATTTCTTTTTTTTTTTTTTTTTTTTTTGAGTTGGAGTCTCACTCTGTCGCCCAGACTGGAGTGCAGTGGCCACTCCCCGCCACCGCAGCCTTGACCTGCCAGGCTCAGGTGATCCTTCCGCCTCAGCCTTCCAAGTAGCTGGAACTACAAGCACACACCACCATGTCCAGCTAACTTTCTGACTCATTGTGGAGATGAAGTCTTGCCAAATTGCCCAGGCTGGTCTTGAACCTGTGGACTCAGGCAATCCTCTACCTCAGTCTCCCAAAGTCCTGGGATTATAGGTGTGAACCACTGCACCCAGCCCCATCTCATATTTCCATACAAACTTTTCTCCAACTTATTACAAAGTTTAAAAAGTGACTTTTGGGCCGGGCTCGGTGGCTCAGCCTGTAATCCCAGCGCTTTGGGAGGCCGAGGTGAGTGGATTGTCTGAGCCCATGGGTTCGAGACCTGCCTGGGCAACTTAGTGAGACCTCATCTCTACAATAAATCAAAAATCAGCCAGGCGTGGTAGCGCACGCCTGTAATTCCAGCTACTTGGAAAGCTGACGCGGAAGGATCGCTGGAGCCC